CGGCCACCTTAGCCTCGACCTGCTGGGCTCCGGCAATCCTTCCGCCTCAGCCTTCCGAGTAGCTGGAGCTACAGGTGCGCACTACCATGCCCGGCTAATTTTTTGATTATTGTAGAGATGAGGTCTCGCCAAGTCGCCCAGGCGGGTCTCGAACCCGTGGGCTCAGGCAATCTACTCACTTCAGCCTCCCAAAGTGCTGGGATTACAGGCTGAGCCACCGAGCCCGGCTAGAACCCTTTTCAAAAACACCACCAATGATGGCAAGAAACAGAAAACTATCCACGAGCGTGTGTGAAGATCACCTGGGGAAGGGGGCAGAACGAAAGAAAGCCAGCCAAGAATGTCTGGAAACCAGAATCACAATTTACCAAAAACAAACGTGCCTCAAGAGAGGTCAGGACCTCCCCAAGACCCGACAGGCTGCAGGATTACCAACGGGAGCTCAAGTCAGCATCCTGCACTCGTGAAGAGCTGAGGAAGGAGCAGGGCACGGTATTCCCCCTGTAATCCCAGCGCTTTGGAGGCCAAGGCAAGATAACTGCCTGAGCCCAGGTGTTCAAGACCAGTCTGGGCAGCTTGGCGAGATCGCGTCTCTACAGTAAATCAAAAAACATAGCTGGGCGTGATGGCACACTCCTGCAGTTCCAGCTACTTGGAAGGCCGAGGTGACGGATCGCCTGAGGCCAGCAGGTCGAGGCTGCGGTGGAGATGAGCATGCACTGCACTCCAGCCTGGGCGACAGAGTGGGGCTCCGACTCAGAAAAAACCCCAAAACAACACAGTGTCTGGCACTTAATAGGCCCTTGGGAAATGTTAGTGTTAGTAATAGCGGTAGTAATAGCAATCACATCATTTCAGAAAGGAGTCCCTGTTGATTTTCGACTGTAATGGGTCACATCCAGTAACAGGGCATTTGTTTATTGGGCATGGTGGGAGAGAGACAGCATGTCTTCTGGACCCTGAGACTACAGTTGAGAGTGTGAGAGCACCAGCTGCAAGGAGAGAAGGCATAAACACAACCCAAGGCTCTGGGTGCTGTTTCCCAGTCCTTTGTTTCCTGTCTGCTTGGGAGACAGTGGCCGCGGGTGGGCCGGGATGGTGAGGCCAAGGCTGATGGGGCTGAGGGATGAGGCGGAGTCTGGGGAACCAGGGGAACCTGCTGGTCACCCAGACCAGATGCTGTTTGTGATGTGACCCCGTAGCCTGTTTTGAGAATGGATAGCAATGGCTGGGCTCGGTGGCTCAACCTGAAATCCCAGCACTTTGGGAGGCCGAAGCGAGTGGATTGCTGGAGCCCGTGGGTTCAAGACCAGCCCTGGCAACTTGGTGAGACCTCGTCTCTACAATAAGTCACAAAAACTAGCCGGGCGTGGTGGTGTGTCTGTAGTTCCAGCTACTTGGGAGGCTGAGGCGGAGGGATTGCTGGAGCCCAGCAGGTCAAGGCTGAGGTGGCTGTGAGCATGCCGCTGTACTACAGCCTAGGCGACAGAATGAGATTCCAACTAAAAAAAAACAAAAAAGGGAAACGAACAAAGCTAATAGCATGAAAAGAGTCAGAATGGAGTCATTTTCTTACCATGATCCAGAAAACCCCCGTCCTCATAGAGCCTCACCCTGGCACCCCAGCTGCGGAGATGTACAGCTGTGGTATAAGCTGGGAGCTGCTGTGCACTGTTCCACACTGTGGGGATGCTGGGAGGGGTCCGAAGTGGGCGGGCGCCCTCCCAACCATGTTCTCCTGCTCTCGCCAGGCTGAGGCCGCCATGGAGCAATGTGCATGTGTGGAGAGAGAGCTGGACAAGGTCCTGCAGAAGTTCCTGACCTATGGACAGCACTGTGAGCAGAGCCTGGAGGAGCTGCTGTGCCATGTGGGCCAGCTGCGGGCCGAGCTGGCCAGTGCAGGTGGGTGGTGCCCTGTGAGAGCCCGCCGGCCTTCCTGGGATGAGGGAGACCTGGGCTGGTGGGCACCAGGGTCCGGAAGGGTCTGGTGCGGCCACTGGTACATGCACCTCTAGCCCTCCTCCAGCGGGGTAACGGCAGTCCCTGAGCTGTTTCGAAAAGCCCAGCAGAAATTATTGACTCACCTGAGACGATTCTCATTGACATTTTCAGTTTACTTTTTTGTTTTTAACTTTTCAGATGTTTTAAGATAATTTGAACTGCGCGTGATGGCTCATGCCCAGAATCCCAGAACTTTGGGAGGCTGAAGCGAGACGATTGCCTGAGTTCAGGGGCTCGAGACCAGCCTGAACAACAAAGAGAGACCTCCTCTCTACAAAAAAAAATTTTTTTAAAGTTGGCCGGTAGCCGGGCGTGGTAGCGCGTGCCTGTAGTTCCAGCTACCTGGAAGGCTGAGGTGGAAGGATCGCCGGAGCCCAGCAGGTCGAGGCTGCGGTGGCCGGGAGCAGCCACTGCACTCCAGTCTGGGTGACAGAGTGAGACTCCAACTCAAAAAAAAAAGTTGGCCGGGCACGGTGGCTCAAGCATGTAATTCCAACACTTTGGGAGGCTGAGACGAGAGGATTGCCTGAGCTCCATGGTTCGCGACCAGCCTGGGCAACTTGGCGAGACCTCATCTCTACAATAAATCAAAAAAATTAGCTGGGCGTAGCAGCATGCACCTGTGGTTCCAGGTACTTGGAAGGCTGAGGCGGAAGGATCCTAAGCCCAGCAGATCAAGGCTGTGGTGGCCGTGGGCATGCCACTGCACTGTAGCCTAGGAGACAGAGTGAGACTCCAACTCAAAAGAAAAAAAAATTTACAGAACTATTCCAAGAATAAAGAACTCATACACCTTGTACCCAGACTCACCACCTGCTGATAGGTTGCCGAATTTGCTTTACCATCCTCTTGCAGACATGCACTCCGGGCCCCTAGGCCTTCAGTGTGTGTTTCCTAAGATCAAGGGCATTCTCTTGCAGTGATATAGTATAAGTAACTATTAAAACCAAGAAATGAAGCATTGATGTAATATCACTTCCATTTTGCCATTTTCCTATTTTCTTTTTTTTTTTTTTGAGTCTCAGTCTCACTCTGTCACCCAGGCTGGAGTGCAGTGGCACGCTCACAGCCACTCCAGCGTTGACCTGCTGGGCTTGGGCGAGCCTTCTGCCTCAGCCTTACAAGTAGCCGGAACTACAGGCACATGCTGCCACACCCAACTAATTTTTTATTTTATTTTATTTTATTATAGAGACGAGGTCTCACCAAGTTGCCCAGACTGATCTCAAACCCCTGGACTCAGGTAATCCTCTCATGTTGGCCTCCCAAAGTGCTGGGATTTCAGGCTTGAGCCACTGCACCCAGTTCCTGTGTCTTTTTTTTAAAATTGAGCTAGATGCCAGGTGTGATAACTCACATCTATAATCCCAGCACTTTGGGAGGCTGAGGCAGGAGAATTGCTTGAGACCAGGAGTTCAAGACTAGCCTGGGCAATGTAGCAAGACCCTGTCTCTCTTAAATACATAAATAAATAAAATATAGTTCACATACCATTAAACTCTTTTGAAGTACAGCTTGGTGGTTTTTAGTATATTTACAGTTGTACAATTATCACCACTATGTAATTTCAGAACATTGTCATCATCCCCAAAAGAAACTCAACCCATTGGTAGTTTCTCCATTCCTCCTCCTCCCTGGCCCCTGGAAACCACCAGTCTCTCTTTTGTCTCTATAAGTATACCTATTCCGGGCACTTCATATGAAAGGAATCAGCCTAGTGTGGTGGCTCATGCCTGTAATCCCAGCACTTTGGGAGGCCAAGGTGAGAGGATCGCTTGCGCCCGGGAGTAGCCTGGGCAACACAGCAAGACCTTGTGTCTACAAAAGAATTCAAAAAACTAGCTGGGCATGGTGGTGTGTGCCTGCAGTTCCAGCTACTCGGGGGCTGAGCCACTTGAGCCCAGGAGATCAAGGCTGTGGTGAGCTGTTATCTGCCACTGCACTCCATCCTGGGTGACAGTGAGACTCCGACTCAAAACAGAAAAACGAGAGACAGATGAGGAGGTGAAGTTCCGAGAGAGGAACTGGCTTGTCCCACTTGGCCAGTTCCAAGTCATGCAATTGAAAAGCCACAGAAGCTAGAGTAGAAGCTGGCATTCAGGGCTGCCTTCTGGACTGCCAGACCAGCATTTAGAACAGAGGAGGCGGAGATGAGGTCTGCAGCCGAAGCCGGGGCTGGGCTCGGCCTCCTGGGGTCCCCGCATATCCCGTGGTTTCTCTGCAGCCCTCCAGGGGACCCCGCTCTCAGCCACCCTCTCCCTCGTGATGTCCCAGTGCTGCCGGAAGATCAAGGACACTGTGCAGAAACTGGCTTCGGACCACAAGGACATTCACAGCAGCGTGTCCCGAGTGGGCAAAGCCATCGACAGGGTGAGTGTGGGGCGGCCCAGGGCACGTGCCGGGGCTTGCCGCTGGGTGGGGAGAGTGCCTCCGTCACAGGGCCGTCTCTCCCCCTCGCAGAACTTTGACTCGGAGATCTGTGGCGTGGTCTCTGATGCGGTGTGGGACTCGCGGGAGACGCAGCAGCAGATCCTGCAAATGGCCATTGTGGAGCACTTGTACCAGCAGGGCATGCTCAGTGTCGCCGAGGAGCTGTGCCAGGTGTGGCCGGGGGGGCGGGGGCGCAGGTCTGGCCTGCTCTGCTGTCACCCGACAGTCATCTTGACACCAGCCCTGCCATGCTCTCCAGACACTTGTTTCAGAAAGGAGAGGAGTACCCTGCCAGAAATCGACGGTGGCTCTCGAAACACACATGACGTGAAGTGACTCGTTGTAGTTAAGAGTTGGTTGCCGGCCAGGGTTCTGAGCCAAGGCTCGGTGTCCACTTGTTAAAGGGAGATCAGCGGGATGACAGAGCAGCCCTTGTTAGGCGTAATAGACACACTGGCAGCGAAAGGAAGCTTTCCCCGATGTGTCAGCACTGAAGAGGAGTAATCCTCTCATCAGGCTACTCAGTGTGGGACCGAACTGTCTCAGCACCCTGGGCTGGGTGGGGCTTTCAGTCTGCACTCTGGGGTCCGCAGGTCACATTGGGCCTCCTCGGTACTGAGACGGGAGCAGGCAGGGCCCGTGTGGCTGCAGGGACCATGGCTACTTGTGCAGAGCTGCGCTCCAGCCTGCCTGGGTCGGGTGAGGTGTCAGTTAATCGTGCTTAGCAGTTCTGGAGACACCGTTTTCCAGTGATGGGATCTCTCTCTGCAGGAGTCAACGCTGGACGTGGACTTGGATTTCAAGCAGCCTTTCCTCGAGCTGAATCGGATCCTGGAAGCTCTGCATGAGCAAGACCTGGGGCCCGCGCTGGAGTAAGGAGGCGGGTTGGGCGGCGGCCCTCAGCCCAGTCTCCCGGGCACAGGCTCTCTGTGGCCTCAGTACACCCGGATGCACGGGGTCGCTCTGGCCCTGCCCAAGGCCTCCCACAGACTGGGGCCCTCCCCTCAGGGCCTGGCTCTGCCCAGGCCCTTCTCCGGCCCGGCAGCCGCAGGCTAAACCGGTCGTTCCCCCAGGTGGGCCGCCTCGCACAGGCAGCGCCTGCTGGAGCTCAACAGCTCCCTGGAGTTCAAGCTGCACCGCCTGCACTTCATCCGCCTCCTGGCCGGGGGCCCTGAGAAGCAGCTGGAGGCCATCAGCTATGCCCGGCACTTCCAGCCCTTTGCTCGGCTGCACCAGCGGGGTGAGTGCCGGGCAGCCTGGGCTGCCACGCGGGGCTCCCCAGCCGCTCTGACCCTCCTCCATGCTGAACTCCAGCTCAAGGCCCTTTCACCTGTCATGCCTTTTTTTAAAAGCAGGATTTACTGGCCGGGCCCCGTGGCTTAGCCTGTAATCCCAGTGCTTTGGGAGGCTGAGACGAGTGGCTCAGCCTGTAATCCTAGCGCTTTGGGAGGCCAAGGCGAGTGGATTGCCTGAGCCCGCAGGTTTGACACCCACCCAGGCAACTTGACAAGACCTCGTTTCTACAATAATTCAAAAATTAGCCGGGCATGGTAGTGTGCACCTGTAGTTCCAGCTACTTGGAAGGCTGAGGCGGAAGGATGGCCGGAGCCCAGCACGTCCACGCTGGGGTGGCCGTGAATGTGCCGCTGCCCTCCAGCCTGGGAAATGGCATGAGACGCCAACTCAAAAACAAAAGCAGGATTTATTGAGAGGTCAGAAGAGCTCCCGCAGTGGGAGGGGACCCGAAGGGCTGACCCACCTGTCCTGCCTTCAGCAGCTTCTCCCAGACCATGGTCCCCGTGCCGCTCTGGGTGCCGTGCCCACCCTGCCCTGCCCCACATGTGCCTCCCCAGCTGGGAGACCCTGCTCACGTCGAGACTCACCGGTCGGCCTGTGGAAAGTCCTTTAAAATAACCTCACCTGAGCTCCTGTCACACTAGGATTTCCCAGCCAGTCCCGTCTCCCCTGAGATGCTTGCTGTAGGAACCCACACTGTTGACTTTTCTTTCAGTCTACCGTAATTGTTACTTAACTTTATTTTAGGCCAGGCACAGTGGCTCATGCCTATAATCCCAGCACTTTGGGAGGCCAAGGTGAGAGGATTGTTTGAGCTCATGGGTTCGAGACCTGCCTGGGCAACTTGGCGACACCTCATCTCTACAGTAAATCAAAAAATTAGCCGGGTGTGGTGGCGCGTGCCTATAGTTCCAGCTACTTGGAAAGCTGAGGTGGAAGGATTGCCTGAACCCAGCAGCTTGAGGCTGAAGTGGCTGGGAGCATGCTACTGCACTCCAGCCTGGGCAACAGAGAGACTCCCACTCAAAAAATAGATAAAGTGATTATGAAAACCAAGCAGTGTTTTTACGTTTTGGCCTGACACTGCAGCCTCTGGAAAGCCCTGAGCCCAGGTCCTCCTCGGGAGAGGTCAGTCAGGTGGGAGGCTGGAGGCATTGGTGCAGCCTGAAGTGTGCCCTTGATGAGGCTGGAGGATGCAGAGAGCCGAAGGACTCGCCTCCTGCCCCAGTCTGCTCCGCAGAAGCAGCCCAGAGACCGCACCTCCGCTTAGTTCGGGGGAGTCAGTTCTGTCTGAGGGCATTTCAGTCCTCTCAGCCCTGCCAGGGGCCTGGGGCCCAAGCTCAGGGCCGGGCTCGGCAGTCCCTCTGCCCCTCGGGATGGACCTGGCACTGCAGCCCCTGAGCCGCCACCGGTTGCCTTGCAGAGATCCAGGTGATGATGGGCAGTCTGGTGTACTTGCGGCTGGGCTTGGAGAAGTCCCCCTACGGCCACCTCCTGGACAGCAGCCACTGGGCAGAGATCTGCGAGACGTTCACCCGGGATGCCTGCTCGCTGCTGGGACTTTCTGTGGAGTCCCCCCTCAGCGTCAGGTGGGCCCGCCTGGGAGGGCAGCGTGTGTGGGGGGCGGGATGCTCTGTCCAAGCCCGCCACGTGCCAGGAACCCTGCTTTCACAGACCGAGACTCCTCAGTCCCTCCGTGAGAGGAATTACCTGTTTCTGCAGTGAAAGAAACCGAGACTCGGCATGACGCCCAAGGTCACTGGCGGGAGGAAGGTCACCATCTCGCTCCTTTGTCCCGACGGGCCCTGCCTCCCCTGCACACACCCCGGGATGGCTGCGCTGCCTTCTCTGCTGCTCCAGCCGTCGGCAGCCCCCCTCCCTCACGCCCGTCTCCGGCACCGCTCCCTTCAAGGGAGACACGGCGAAGCGAGCATCCGGTGCTACTGCCTGGGTGTCTCCACGCAGGAACACCTCTTGGTTCACAGCAGCCCTGGACCGAGAGGCACCGTTCCCATTCCACAGAGGAGAAAACGGAGGTCCAAGATAGGCATCCACTTGCCCGGGGCCTCAGGGAATAAAGGGCACTGGGGCCTGATCCCAGAGCCACACATTGCATCAGTGGACAGTTGTCACAGTGCCTTCTACTCAGGCTGGTTGTGGACGCTCCTTCACCCCAGCACGGAGGACCGACTCACTCTCGCCTGGCAGGTTCTCTCGGATTCCAGTGGTAGAATGGCATTTCCCAGCAAGGATGCTGTTGGCGCTTGGACAGGATGACTCGGGCCCTGTGCATTGTGGGGTGTTTGGCTTCCAAGGTTCCAGCCAGCAGGCTCCCTTCCCCATGCAGTTGCTGTAAGAATGACAGCCCCTGCCCCTTTTTTAGGTGACCTTGGTGTGTCATGACAGCAGGGCATGGCAGACCAGAGAGGTGGGCGGGAGCTGTGTGTATACTTCCCTGTCACACCAAAGACTTGGCAGGTGTGTGGATAAGCACGCATCTGCCCTGGGACCGTCCTTTTGTCTTTCTCAAATTTCGGAGTGCCTTAGAACAGTGGCCCCCAACCTTTTTGTCGTCACAGACCACCTTTGTGGAATTCTTTCACGGTCTGGCGGGGAGGGAGATTGGTTTCAGAATGATACAAGCATATAGCATTTATTGTGCACTTTATTAGTATTATATTGTAAAATATAATTATACAAGTCACCATAAAAAGGTGCAGATGGAAGTGGTAAGTAAAATAACGGGCAGGCCACACACAGACTAAATAAGTGTAGGATTCTGACGTAAAGCCTGCCACCAGATGCAGCTGTACAACTTAAGTACTTCAAAGCATTTGCCATTTACTGATAGAGTTTTTTTTTTGAGTTGGAGTCTCACTCTGTCACCTGCTCCTGGCCCTGAAGCCTCGACCTGCTGGGCTCCGGCGATCCTTCCGCCTCAGCTTTCCAAGTAGCTGGAATTACAGGCGTGCGCTAACCACGCCCAGCTAATTTTTTGATTTATTGTAAAGATGAGGTCTTGCCAAGTTGCCCAGGCGGGTCTCGAACCCGCGGGCTCAGGCAATTCACTCACCTCAGCCTCCCAAGGCGCGGGATTACAGGCTGAGCCACCGAACCTGGCTCCAATAGGGTTTTGATGAGTCTGCAAGCAACTGGTGTATTATGGTCTCTGTGTAGTGAGACCTCACTGCGAATGTTAATCTGTATTTGCAAGCCGGGCTCGGTGGCTCAACCTGTAATCCCAGCGCTTTGGGAGGCTGAGGTGAGTGGGTTGCCTGAGCCTGCGGGTTTGAGACCCACCTGGGCAACTTGGCGAAACCTCATCTCTACAATAACATAAAAAATTAGCCAGGCATGGTAGCACACGCCTGTAGTTCCAGCTACGGAAGGCTGAGGCGGAAGGATCGCCGGAGCCCAGTAGGTTGAGGCTGCGGTGGCTGGGAGCGGCCACTGCACTCCAGTCTGGGTGACAGAGTGAGACTCCAACTCAAAAAGAAAAAATCTGTATTTGCAACCACTTCCCAGCGCTAGCGTCACCACCTCAGCTCCACTCAATTCTCTTAAGGTGTGTGCAGCCTAGATCCTTTGCACGTGCAGTTCACAAAAAGGTTTGCGCTCCCAAGAGAATCGAATGCCGCTGCTGAACTGACAGAAGGCGGAACTCAGGCAGTAATGGAAGTGACTGTAAATAGATGAACAGATGAAGCTTCGCTTGCTAGCCTGCGGCGCACTTCCAGTCTGTGGCCCAGGGGTTGGGCCCTGTGCCTTAGAATGGCTGTCCAAGTTGGACATCTGTGCACTTATGGGACACCTTACCGCGGCCTGAGGGACTTTCAAGGACCGGCTTTACCGTTGCCACTTCAGACGGTCTCAAGTCCTGTGCTCGAGGCGTGGTGTGGTGGCCCTTGTCTGTGCGTCACCCGAGTTCTGTGTCTGCAGCTTTGCCTCTGGCTGTGTGGCACTGCCCGTGCTGATGAACATCAAGGCGGTCATCGAGCAGAGGCAGTGCACTGGGGTCTGGAGCCACAAGGACGAGCTGCCGGTGAGGCCTGCCGCGGGCGGGCACAGGGCGGGGCGGCTGGTGCGGCTGGAGCGGCGCTCACCCCTCTGCCGGCTCCCCAGATTGAGATTGAACTGGGCATGAAGTGCTGGTACCACTCCGTGTTCGCCTGCCCCATCCTCCGCCAGCAGACGTCAGACGCAAACCCCCCCATCAAGCTCATCTGTGGCCACGTCATCTCCCGGGATGCACTCAACAAGCTCATCAACGGGGGAAAGTAAGTCCCGCGCCCTCTCTGGTGGCCTGGTTCTCCTGCCGGCACCCTGAGACACCCTTGGTCCTCCCCCTTTGCAGGCTCAAGTGTCCCTACTGTCCCATGGAGCAGAATCCAGCGGATGGGAAGCGCATCATCTTCTGATCCTGACCTGGAAGGAGCTGTGTCGGCAGGGTTTTGCCTGTGAGCCTTAGCTGGTCTTGGGGAATGGCTGTGGTGGGCTGCAGTTCCTTCCGGAGCACCTGGCTGAGCAGTGCTCCTGTGGGGAGGGCAGGGTGGCCCTTGGCTGGGGCGGAGGAGGGAGCTGGACCAGCCACAGGTGGCAGTTGACCCCCTGGGGCAAGGAAAGGGGGGTGCTGCCTCCGTCTGCCAGTGGCGGCCCAGGGCAGCCC